CAGAGTCTGAGGGAGCCTTCAAGGATGACTAAGCCAAGTTTTCTGACCCCAACCATCTTTTTCCATCTCTCCTTTAACCTCTATTTTTCTTACTCTGGTTTATTTGTCTTGTAAATTGTTTTGTGGCTTATAATTACCATGTAAATTCATATTACTTTTTGCCTTAGAGATTAGAAAGAACTTACATTAAACAATGTTTTTTCCCAACCCTTCGACATGTCTTAATACCTTCCAACACAATTCAAGTAGCTTCTTATTTTTATGTCTTCATCATTGTTCCTTGCGAATTACGTTCACCCCACACCTTTCTTTTGATCTGACCAATGCTGCTTTACTCTTTAAACTTTTCTATGCCAAGACTCACATAAGGAATCCCTCAGGCACCATCAACTAGGGGACCCCACATTCCTCACATCTGTTTCCTTGATTTGTTCCTAAATAAAGATGTTTCTGAAACTAATAATAAATTGTACCGAGTAGGCATTGTATAAAGAGCACTATCACAGGTATTTTAAGGAGAATCAATGAAAAAGAATAGTCAATTCCTCGAATAAGTTTGCAGTCAAATTAGGCATTGAGGGGATCAGAGAGGATCCTAAGAGAAGATTTTTAAGCCAGTTTCAAAGGAGGTTGAAACTGGACTGACATAGGATTTTGCCAGTTATCTCAAATCATAACCATTTTTCTGAGCTTTGAGAATACATTTGCATATAAACTATACAACATGTGGGGTAAAAGAGTGCTAATAATGTTTAATTTCTTTCTTATTTTGCTGAGGAAGATTAGCCCTGAGCTAACATCTGTCGCAAATCCTCCTCTTTTTGCTGAGGAAGATTGGCCCTGGGCTAACATCCATGCCCATCTTCCTCTACTTTATATGTGGGATGCCTGACACAGCATGGCTGGATAAGTGGTGCATAGGTCCATGCCCAGGATCCAAACCTGTGAACCCTGGGCCGCTAAAGCAGAGCGCATGAACTTAACCACTATGCCACCAGGCCGGTCCCTTAATTTCTTTTTATTATCCAGCACTTTGTAACAGACATGGCTATTCACAATTAATAAATATTGTAATGTGTAGGGTGACTCAACTTTCAATTGCCTGATATTATCAATTCTTACCCAAAGCTAGAGTTTTTTGTTGTTTTTTTTTTTAAAGATTTTATTTATTCTATTTTTCCCCCCAAAGCCCCAGTTGTATGTCGTAGCTGCACACCCTTCCAGCTGCTGCATGCGGGACTTGGCCCCAGGATGAACGGAGAAGTGGTGCCTCGATGCGCACCCGGGATCCGAACCCGGGCCACCAGCATCGCAGCGCGCGCACTCAACCACCAAGCCACAGGGCCGGCCCAAAAGCTAGAGTTTTTAAAGATCAAATTTTATTCTAGTTACCTTTCAACTAGTCCATTTACATCAGAAAGATGTTGAGTTTTAGGAAAATACTTCAAAACACAAATTTTATATGTAACTTCAAATGCAAAAAATAAGTTAAAAACTGGATGGTAACCAGTTTTGCTACCATATATGAATCTTTAACACAGGAGCAAACGTTTTTATAAAATATAATTGATGTTTGCCTATTTATATATTGTAGAATGTAAAAGCATTTACAGTTAAAATAGTATTTCAAATACCAAAGAATAAAAAACAGAATTGTTTCAGTTTTATGAAATAATGCTTTAGACATAGCAGATTTTCAGAGCATATTACTTGAAAATAAAATCATCAGTTAGTGAGGTTTAAAGAATGTGGTTTTATTTTAAACTTCTCCTTCCATGGGAGCATCAATAAAAGCCCTCCAGGAGTAGCTATAGCTCTTTCTTGCCGCACGAGCACCAGCTATATTTGCTTTAAGCATCAGAGTCTCTGACAACCCATCAGCCTTCAACTCCTTTTAGTTGAGAAAAGGCTCTATGAGTCATGTGTGTTTTCCAGGGGTATGGAGCTCTGAGAATTATTAACTACAGGGAGAGAGTAAAAAAGTTGAAACTCATTCAATAAATTCCAGTGTGCTCAGGTGAGAGAACAGGTGCCTGAACTCACATCTGAAGAAAAACTTAGAGGTTGCTTTCTGACTCTGCTTCGTGCCTCTGACTAAGCAGTCCTGGAGACCCCATTACAGACACAGAATAAGGCGGGCAGCCTCGATGGACCAGAAATCCTCCTATGTCCATCAACCGTACAGAGCAAACTGGCTTAAAGACCCCTCATTTCCTGCTGCAGTGGTAATTTACAGAGGTACAGAACTGCCATCTAGTGACTATGAAGAAAACAGCAAGGTGCTTTACATGAAAAATTGTGAGTTTTTTCAAAAAGAATAGTGAAGCACTAAAATTAGTAAAATTGACACAATGTGGCAAACCAAAGTTATAGTAAAACTTAAAAATGTGTAGGTGCACTCATCTGTCACTCTCTATGCCTCTAAAACATCTGACTCATAAATTAAGTATAGTTTAAATATAATTTTAAAAGAATAACTTTTAAAATAAACTTCTCATGTCATCCATCTGATGATTTTGGCAGGAGCTGGTATTACATAGCCAGAGGGCAATTACCCATGTCGAACTATCTTCTTCATCATAGTGGAGAGAACATGAGGTAGAAAACCCAACAGACCGATCTTCAGATCTTAGTTCCTACCCTTGATCAGTTTTGTGACCGTCAGTAAGTTAACACCTACAAACATCATTTTCTTTCCCAGTTAAGTATGAATTATAATAGTTACTTTACAAGATTATTGTAAGAATTGCATAAGGTAATATAGTAAAGGAACAGGTGCACAGTAGATCGATAATTAATTCTCCTTCCCTGTATCTCTTTTATGGAACATACACAAATCATATAAGAAGAGAACCAGTCCATAAAATAAACTTATGACAAAGAGTCAATGGCTCCTGAAGTAAGGGACATCATTGTTGAGTGCTTAACCTCAACTGCCTCCAAATACTGTTACCTCTCAATTAATTTATTGTATTTTCTGGCTTCTAGACACTTCACGGGCTACCAGGAAAGGACAAATTGAAATTGATCTATTTCACCCTTGAGCTTCCAAGTCATAACGTCAGGTGTTTGTAAGTCACCTAGTTCATCAGGTTTTCTGCTTATTACAATGTATTTTACCATGGTTCACAGCCTGAGAAAAACAGAAAACCACTATAATTTTACATACATGAATACATATCTTGATTTATTACAGGTGGAATCTTAATATATAGAGCAATATTGTACACGTTTTGTCATTGTTTGTAGTATAGAAGACTTTTGTCCAGGTTTTCTTTGGCTTTATCATATATAACAAAGAATTCAATAATATATGCCCTCGAGATAAGAATTTAGAAAAATATAGTATCTTAGATCACAATTTAGTCATGCTTCAAAAAAAAAAAAGCTATAAAAATAATGAGAGGATATTTTGAGGGCACTATTTTTCTTAATTATTTCTGACTTTATTTCTCTTTACCTCTGTTTAACCTTTCTCCATCTTATTCGCTATTGGCTAATTATTGCACAGTAACTGAATACCCATCAGCTGAGCCCACCACGCTTCTCCAAGCGCCCCAGCCTGATGTCGTTCTCGGCTCTGACAAAAAGAGGCTGGGAAAACCTGTTTTATGACACTATCCTTAAGAGTGTCTTTACTCTCACGATAATGGCCAATCCGGCTGTATTTTTGAAAGGCACCAGTGGATTATAAAATGAAGTTCTAGACCCATGTTGTATCCTTACTTCTCCTCCAGGGGGAGCACAACTGTCATGTATAACGCAGGACGGCTGGTTTGGTTTTATTTTTCTTTCCTTTAAAAATATTTTATTACTTGTAAAATGTAATAGGGGTAAAAATGATACACGAGCAACAACATGAACTTACAAACTGCAAAAATATAATGTTTCAGTGTCCTAATTTTATACAATGTAATAAATAATACTACTTTCTCAATGTGATATCTTGATTGATTGTAAGATTTTTTTTTCCTGGCTCATTTTTCTGCAAATTCATTTATTAGGTCACCAAATTTATATGTTTAGGATCTTTATTTTCAATCAATATAATTGAAGGGACATCAGTTGTTCTTGGCAAGTGAAAAGTAACAAGAAATTTTCGAGAATTTTTAATTCTGAGAAGGATCTTTCTGCTTCTTTTTTAAAGGGAAGTCATTTTATACTCGGAAAAGTTCTCAAAAATCATCAAATTCTTTAATTTTACAAAAAGAACACTATGTCCCAAATAGTCTATGTGGGTTGTCATACATTAACCAGAAACAGACCTAGAACCCAGGTCTGACTTGTCTCATTTCTCCTGGACCACACTCAAGAGAGCACATGCTCTCCTTACTGGTAAATTCTAATGCTCAGTGATTTTCACAAGCACAGTTGGGATAAAGTACAAATAAATTAAACAAATGGTTTTATACAAAAAAAGGAGCCATCACTACCCACAATTTCTATTCCATATAAGTGCTTTCTTTCTTGCAGGGTTTTTTTTTTTTCAATAGTAAGTCCATTTTGTTACAAGAAAAAAGACATGAAATTTGGCTTCTTTAGTAACAGAAAAAAAGTTTCTGTGGAAATTAAAAAGACACTAATGTTTCATACACTAAAGCAACTGAAGAATATTATTTGATTTTAGAAAAGCTCTGACAGACTTTCAGAAATCGCATCCATGCGACTATTCGTCTGTCCAGGCACATCTCCGCACGTCACCTCCTGGAGCGGTCACTGTTTTCTGCTGGAGGCAGCTGTTGTCAGGCCCAGCGCTCTGGCTGCGTAGAGAATGATGCAGCTTCTGAAAAGCATGTACTCAGTTCCACTTCAAGGCTGATTTTCTCTGCAAAGTCTAAATGGAAGAAAACATTCCCTTCCGCCTGACCGGATTCCCCCGCAGGCTTAGAGAAACAAGGGTGCCTAGCCAGCTGGGCAGACGGGAAGATACATCCAAGTCTGCCACAATTTTACGACAAACAAGAGAGAAAAGATTTGACATCCTAATAAGCTCTTCTTACCTGTTGAACAGCATCTGAACTTTTTTTTGGAGTTTCCAAAACAGCAGATTGAGATTCTGGGTTGGAAAGGAAGAAGACAGTCAATATGTTAAAGAACAAATTTTCCCATTTCCTCAATCAGAAAACAAAACTAAATAAAATATATCTTTAACCATAAGTACCAAAAACATCCAGTTTATCTTCTGATTATACTTGTGTATTGAGGACATGACTGCTTTTCAATATGTATACCACATATAATAACTAACACTCATGTCATTAATTACTTTTAAAATTCAAATAACCCTATGCCCTTCTTGACACATCAATCATAATTACTCTTCTCAATTCCTAGTTTCTATTTTGTGTCAGAAATTACCTGCTGAGATATTCACCTTTTATATTATTCACTTAGCGTTAGTCTGTACAATGATAGACACCAACTCAGCCACTTTGAAGGATGCGATCTCAGATGCCGTATCTAACTACCTTCTGATTTCAATGAGAGATCCTGAGCACTGTCACCAAGAGGCACTGAGTAATAAGGGATTTTGACTCCTTTACTTTGTCCTTTGGGAGTCTGTAAGAATACAAATTCTTCATGCTGGAAATCCTAAGGGATAACCAAGTCCAGGATTTTTTTTTAAGCTAGGGAACACTTTCTTCTAAGTGAAGCTTGTATGGAAGTTTAAAAACATAAGAATAAAAATAAAAAGACTTCAGGCAGATCCAGCCGGTGGCACAGCAGTTAAGTGCGTGTACTGTGCTTCGGCGGCCCAGGTTTCGAGGGTTTGGATCCCTGGTGCAGACCAGTGCACTGCTTGTCAAGCCATGCTGTGGCAGTGACCCATATAAAGTGGAGGAAGATGGGCACAGATGTTAGCCCAGGGCCAGTCTTCCTCAGCAAAAAGAGGAGGATTGGCATGGATGTTAGCTCAGGGCTGATCTTCCTCACAAAAATAAGTAAATAAGTAAGTAAAATAAATAAAAAGTCTTCAGGAATCCCCAGTGCTCTATGGATCAGAGTCTGAAAACCACTCGTCTTTCCCATCCTCCACGTTTTACAGATGAGACATACAAGCAGTTGGTGGCAACCTGAAGACCAGAGTTTGTCTCCTGACTGTCACATGACTCCCACCCTGACTGGTGTGCAGACCAGACATCTGACAAGATACAGCAGTCACTCCTGGGGATAATTTAGACATTCCCAATTTAGCAGCATTTTAGTTGAAGTATGTGACAAGGCTATAGAAAAACAAAAGGTATTTATTATTTAAATTGTATAACGTATAGTCAAACGACATTGAATGTTTTCATTTCACTTAGATTAAAGCACAGTCTCGATGGGCCCAGGGGCTTTTTTTCATCTGCCCACCCTCCCTAACCTTTTGAACCCCCTCCGCTTTTCCCCTCTTGCTCACTGTGCTCCAGACACATTGGCTTCTCGCTGCCCGCCAACATCCCAGCCTCGCTCCCTCCACTGCATCTCTGCAGCCCTGAGATATCTGCATGTCCTCCTGCCCTGTCCCTCCCCTCCGGGCCCTGCTCCAGCCCCCCTGGGCTCTCTAGTTGAAGTAGCAGCCCAGGGGCCAGCCATGTGGCACAGCGGTTAAGTTAGAGCACTCTGCTTTGGTAGCCCGAGATTCACAGGTTCAAATCCCGGGCATGGACCAATGCACTGCTCATTAAGCCATGTGTGGCAGTGTCTCATATACAAAAATAGAGAAAGATGGGCACAGATGTTAGCTCAGAGCCAATCTCCCTCACAAAAAAAAAAAGTAGCAGCCCACCCACTCCCTAGCTCTCCCCATTGCCTGTCACCTTCTTCATGACACAGATCATCACACAATAGACTCCGTAATTCACTTGTCTGCCTACTTATCTCAACCGACAAAAACAAACTCTGTGAAGACCGAGATTTTGTAGATTTTTTTTCTTTATTTTATCTCCAGCTTCTAGAATAGTGCCTGGCACCCAGTAGGTGTTTAAATATCTGTTGAGTAATTGTAGGAGGGAACGAAAGGAGTGATCAGAAGAATGACCACACCGTGGAAGTGGGCGCCACCATGAAGAGTGGGTATCTTGGGCAGGGACAGAGGGAGGAAGGATTTTATATCGGGCAACATGGGTACCACTGTGCCTTTACTATTTCCTGCACCTCAGCTCAGGGTGTGTCTCTCAAAACAAAAATTATTGAGAATAACATGAAGCAGTCGCTTGCCAACAGATGTCACTGTGGCAACAGAATATTAACAAGTGGACTTCATATACAATGATTTTCCCAAATACTGTATTTCCTGAATTAATCAAAAAGGGATTCTTCTCTCTTATACTGACAAATCTCCACTCTGAACTCAGTGCCAGAGTTAGCCAATTGTGAATAAAGAACTTTAACATCAAAGCCAGCCAACAGTTCGTGTTAAAGCAAATCCAAACTCAGGAACACTTTTGTTTTCAGTCACCTCCAAATCCCCCCAAACTCAACAGACTCAAGATAAGGTCCCGCCTTGTGCAGATGGAGAAAAGCTTCTCTTCCTCTTTTTCTATTCAGATAGTGCAGGGAAGAGCCCAAAGGGTCTCCTGGTGGAACACGAACAGTTCTTTACATTAGAAACGCAGGCAGTGTTCCTAGCTTCTTTTCCATAGGCCGAGACCTGGTGACCTGCCCAGAGGAGCAAACTTCTGGGCTCCAACAGTAAATAAGACTGTGTGCAGTTTACCACAACAATGAACTACAAAGATGCATCAGTCAGGACCTTGAACACCCACACCTAGGCTCTCAGTCTCCCTCTGTCTAATTCCATGGCTACCTGAACTGAATTCATCCTCCATCCCCATCCCTTTCACAACACTTTTTATTTCCTCGAATCAGCAGCTTACAACATCGAAGAGAAATTTATCAAGATACTCTCTTCAAAGTCATAAGCTGGAGTATAGGAGCTGTAGAGGGTCAAGATTTCAAGACGAGAGTGATGTACAGAGTAATCGTACCACAAAATAAAGGGGGCAAGAATGAGAACAATAAGAGAAAGGAGAACAATAAATGTGGAGGAGAAGGAAAATACTAGAGAATAAAAGTCAGAAAGAGAAAAAGAAGGAGAAAAGGTATAAGAAAGAGAAAAGAGAAACATGAGAAATGGCAAAAAGGGGCACGAGTGGAAAAGAGACGACAGGCTCGGGGTAAAGGACAAGTCAGCCGGCTTCTGAGCAAGGGCTCAGTTCTAGAGTCACTGGGCGTGCGTTTGAGAAATCCGCTCAGTCCTAACATGCCTAGAAAGATCACGCCTCATTCCAACTCCTATTACCAACGCTCTCCTCTCCCAGGATCCAGGGCATTTTCGGGAACTGCCTTCTCTCATCTCTGGAACTGACAGAGACCCCATTAAATATTCATCAACTAGGATGGTTGTTTTGAAAGAATAACCCAGTGAGAACTCTCTCAAGGGTCCATTCAGACCTGCCAACTCCTTCACTCACCCCTCTGAAGAATTCAGAAACTAGACTGTTCTTTCAAAAACATTACTGTGAAGCAAAGTAGGAGAAAGAACATCTCTGGCAAAACTTTAAATGTTCCCCTTTTTCTGAAGTAACCTCACAAAATTCTGAGCATGATCTAAAATTCTGGGCTCCCCACAATTCCAAATATGCTTCAGAAATGATCTATTTACCATCACAAAATAAGCCTCTGACTTTTATAAAGTAAAACAGACGTGAATGAGTTCTATTTTTGTAGAGAGAGGGCAGCAAGAAAAAGAGTAGGATATGTCTCACTGCTATGAAGGACAATAAATCAAATCACGTCTTTAAAATGTACAAAATATGCCTCTAAAATGAATTAAGCTGTCTCTAAATAGTTCTACATTTTAAGTAAAAATGCTCTTATATAAAATTATTAAATTACAGCTTCTTTAATGGTATACATCAACTTGACTAAAATCTAGACAATTTAATAGAATGAGAATTCATTAAACTTCATTGAAATAGCATGGCTTATGATTAGCTGCCTAATAAATGGGGGATGTTTTCAATTCTGATATGCCACATCCTTCCACAAATGAAGATGAGGTTAAACATGTAATTTTCCTAAAAAAGGCCAACCCTATGTTCTGCTTATCTCATTATTTAGTAGTACGGCTCTGCCCCTCATCTTTGCCAACAAAAGGTGTCTATACACAGGCTTTAGTGTACATATGTTAGGGGAAATGCAGGCTGATTTTACAAAGAAAAAAAGTTGAAAATAGAGCATTACCTACATGAGACATGGTCAATCTGTTCTAGAACATTTTACCCCTTGATCAAGAAAGAAGTGGAGAGAGAGAATGCTGTCAACCTCTCCTGTGGCCCCTTACAGAATGTCTACATCACCTCAACTGAACGTGTCTTAAAGCATTTCAACTAAACATGGAAATGAGCTGATGATACTGTCTTTGCATTACATCACGCAGAGTCTCTTTTATTAGGAACCATTAGAAACACTTCTTTTGGACACTGGAGGCCAGAAAAGTTGTGCTTCTCTGAGAGACTGTTGCTTTTTATCTCATGGACACGGGATGATAGAGAATTGCTCACACTTCCCTTTCTACTTTAAACCTGAGAGATAAATTTCCAACTACCTTTAAAAACTGCAGGTCCTTCTGAAATACATTTCAATGTGCTGGCTGACCTCAGCTTCATTTCATTGTTCCATCCTAAATTCCTTTCAGTTTGATCTATTTTCCTTTGTAACCCTTTTGTACACCTTAGATATTTATAAGCTGCTCAAATCTTTTTTGGAGCAAAGGTGGGTTACAATTCTTTTACCCAGCGTGTAAACCCAATTTTTAGGATTTCTACACAAAAAGTTTCTGCCATGTTTCTACCAGCTCTCCTTCCATATATTTCCCTCCAGGATTTTCTATGCCCAAATTGCCTTTCTAAAAACCAGCCCTCTGTTCGCTCTCTTGGCCATTCACACTTTCAGAGAAAGAGAAGGGACTTGATTTTCCAAAGACGCAACAAGAATGATCAAGTCCCAATCCATATCTAGACATTCTGCTTCTGTTCTCCATGAATCTGAAAACTGAAGTTAATTTTCTCTTTGATTTTGTGTAACTCTATTGCATAACCTTTGAAACTTGGTATTGAGCCCCTAAAATGGTCCACGGGCTGTTTCAGCACACACAACACTCTCCCTCAAATGCTTGCATTCATGTGCTGAGTAGATATTTTATTTATTTAGATCCTATTCAACAAAAGATCTTCATTTATTCACTCAAATATTTAAGTATATACTATGTGCCCACAGGTCTTGACATGCTGGGAGTCTGCAAGGAAGATGGATATGTATAAACAGATAAATTACAATCAGAAAGAATCTGAATGATAGAAATATGAATAAAATGCCATGGGACTCCAGAAAAAAGAACCTCCATGGGGGGCAGGGAGGATTTGCACCCTTGCACCCTACAGGTAAAGGAAAACAGAGAGAGAAAAGATAAATGGAAAGGTTTTCTTCTTCTTAATGTTTCCGCCACCAACTTTTGGAACACGTTGCTTCAGGATTTTCCTTCCAGTAGCCTTATCCTTCAAGAGGCTTCTCTAGACTTCAAAAGGTCGATTGCAACACCTGAGGCTCCTCTGTGGAGATTACGCTAGCTATGTATGGAGCAAAAGATGCACAGGAATCTGAAGCCCTTCTGCAGCTCCCTGGTGGGGAAGGAGGGGCAGCAAGCCTTCTCCTTGGCACATAAAGGAGGGTCGGCTCCTTCCTCAATATATGTAGGTGGAGATAAACCACTTTCACAGGAGGGATTATGGAAAAATTGAAGTAAGAGCCGTGAAAAAGGCAGAAGCAGCAAGACCACGAATACGAAGTAGCTGGACATATGAATCAGTGCGCAGTAAGAAGAAGGGCCGGAAGACAAAAAAAAAAAAAGGCAAAAAAACAAGCTCTCAACTTTATAAGATGGAAGCACAAGTCAGTTTCCTTCAGAAAGAAACAAGTCATTGAACTCTTTTACTTTAAATGAAAACTGATGTTGCAAATAGTGGTTTTAACCACAATATCACTACACAATAATGTATAGCAATCAGTCGTTAAGTGCTCTGCAAATGGTTTCTTACTATTAAGAATCACGTTATCAAAGTTTGCAATTGATACATATTTTTTAAAAAAACAGTAGACTCTACGCAAGGTTTTCACTGTATTATTGACATTCTCACTCTGACAGCTGACTGCCTGACTAGGAAGGACAGGGTGATGTGACCCCAGAATGAGCATGCCCCATGGAGTCATGGCAGGAAAAGTTGAGAAACTGCCATCAGATCATTTGGACAAGCCAATGCCATATGGCTATTGGGTTTATAACAGATCAACTGGAGAAAAACAAGCCACTACGTTAAATTATTTTCTACTTACCTGCATCACACTCTCCAAGAACACATTTTTTAAAAGGAGACAAGTTATTATACTAAAAATTACTTGCTCTGGCATTTTGCAAGCTGCATCAAATAATGAGGAAGAAACTCAGTGACAAACTTCCTGGTATCAATTCCAACTATCATCGTTTACCACACTAAAACTCTAATTATCACTAACTTTCAATCTAGTGCCCCTCCAGTACACAAAATCAATAACATAAAATGTTTCATAACTTTTTTTAAAGTGCCCTAAAATTTTAGAGGATAATATAAATGTTTCAGTTAGAAAAGTTGAGAACAGACACACAAGAAAAAAATGAAAATATCAACCTAATCAATGATGTAAAACACAAGATATGAACAACTGTTAAAATAATTCTCCATGAAATTGACCAATTCTACTTTCTCTACACCTGGCTATTTCCTTTCAGTAACTTTTAACATAAACAAACAGAATAGTGTATTTAATGGGATCAGTTCTTTTAGTTGTGTGCTTTTCCTTTTAAAACTACATATGATTTTATGTGCTTGCTTTATTTTCAGGTGGTGTCACATTAGAACACCCTCATCTCTGAAGATTTTTGCATTAAGGAACTCTACCTTGGCCCTTGATCGACTGTACTCTGTGTTATGATAAACTCAGAGCCCTACATAGAACAACATTTCCTACATCCTGTCTCTCGTGTGTTGTTCATTTCAGGGAATATAGTCCACCAGGTGAACACTAAGCAGTGTTTCAAAAGCATCAGATATTAAAAGGAGGACATGCAGGGTTGGGTGTGAGCCCCCATTCGGTGCCTCAGTGCAAAGAAGAAAGAGGTAAATGCATCCCTCCAGAGACTGGGATAAAACAGGAGGTTATCAGCACGAGGCTCCCTTTGCAGGCCTTTGGGCAGGGACCTGGAATAAAACTGTTGACACCGTGGATCGTGCTTGGTTTCACAGGGAACTCACGAGGAAGATAAGGACATGAAATAATGATAATTATAATAACAGCAGCAAACACTTCTACTGAGCCAGGCACTGCACTCTGAAGGTTAATTCTGTGCTTGAACATACATTAACTCATATAACTCTCAAAATAGCCCTATGCACTAGATATTATTCTTCTTGCCATTTTACAGATGAAGAGACTGAGGACAATGGTGAGAAAACTCACCCAGGTTACAAAGATGATAAATGGCCGAGCCCAAGCTCAGTGCTCTTCTGTGATGCTCTTTTACTACAACTCCAAGTTAAGTCTCTAATGATTGTCTTTCTCCCTATAAGCCAATGGGGGAAAAAAATCAAAATTCTTAACTCTAACACTCACGCTACCATTTGAGAAAATTTGGTGAGGGAGAGATTTCTGAACAGTAACAATACCTTCCTATTTACTCTTCACTTATAGGTCAGACATCCATATTCCTTATCAGTCCACCAAGAAGAAACTGGGACTTTTTATTATGCCAAAATGAAGAAAAAACAAAAAATAAAACAACAAAATTCCTTTAAACATCATTACACAAATATGATTCTTAATTCTGTATGACAAATATAAAGTGCTTTCCTGATTTTAGGCTCCGTATAAAGCTGATGCTAATCTCATGCTATCTTCCCAGCCAATAACTCAAAACACTTTAAGACAACAAAAGGCACAAAGAGAAAAAACAACCCAAAGGAAAATTTTAAAGAAAAATAAATATTACATCTGAACACTGTACAATTTTAAAAGATCACTTAAAATTTAGATTTAGTAAAACCTGTATCTCTATCTTATCTCTCCGAGTTCTCTCTGAAGGTAAAGAAAAGGAGTAGAAAGGCACAAAGAAGGTGGTTAGAGAAGAGAGTCAGCAGGAAGAAGTAAGGTGGCCGCCCCTCTGAAGGCAACAGAGATAAACCTCCCTTCGGAGCTCTCTCAGCATCCTCCTCACGGAGCTTCAACCTCGGGCAGTGGCTACAGGGGGCTGCGGGCAGCAGTGCTTCCCAAACATCAGTCTACACAATCATAACTGGACAAGTCCAGGGTCCCATTCCCCAGAATTCTAACTCAGCAGCCTTGAAGGTGGGAAATGATAATTTTCCATTTAACAAGCCTCCCAGTGATTTTCCTTGAGTTAGCTGCAGATTATAATCTAAGACAGACCTTGAAGAGAAGCACAGACTCACTACCCAGTACGCACTGCACAGACACTTTATGTCGCACATGCTCAGAACATTCCCTGCTCCCGGGTCCTACCTGCTTTAGCAGCCTTGGGCCTGTGTTCTTCATCAGGAGATTCAGATGGCGGCCAAACAGACGGGACTCGCCTGGGAAACTGCCCTTCTGTGTAATCCAGTGAGTGTGTGGGCTGACTAACGGCAGCCCAGGTGTAAAGTTGATCTTGCTATATTTGAAAATAAAACATTTTTTAAAGCTATTTTAATTCAATCATGAAAAAAATGAAATCTTCTTGATTGATACATTGCAATATTATTTCTATCATAAATATACATAGGTCGGGTGTGTGTACATATATATACATACATATATAAAAAATGTTAAAACAGCATTTTATACTATTCAAAGTAGATTCATAACACAAACATTCTTGCATACAGTCATTTCATTTTCATAACCATACCTGTCTCAGTTTCTTTTCTATCATAAAATCTAAGTCTCTTTCTTTGGAGGTAGAGATGCCATGTGGGCCGGCAGGGATTATAAGGTCAGAAAATCCAGACACTCAATTGGAGAACTCCCTGAACTAGCATCTTTAATACATTTGAATATGATGTCCCTTTAAGATCTGTTTAAACACTTGTGGGAAAGTCACGCTGTCCCGGGCAGCACAGGACAATAACAGCTTCCGTGCCTTCAACAACAAAAGGCCCAGGAAATCGTCTTATCTGGGTCCAGGTTGGAAACTGGTTTGGGAGAAAAACCATGAAAAAGTAAATGAACCTGCCAAGAATAAAAGAATTAGACAGGGATCTTCTGGCAAAGAAAGCTCTTCCCAGCTGCAGACCAACAGAATCTGGACAGAATGAGAAGAGGGCTCATAACTACACCTAGTGCCACGGAGCCAAGTGGAAATCTCACAAGGGAGCCGTCTGGAGGCCGATGAACACCTCGCCAAACTGCTCGTTAGGACTTCAGAACAACATGTTTAACCATTTTAGGATGCATGCACTCAATACACGCATGTCCTGGGTTCCTTCATGGCATTTTCTTTACTTATATGTATATTTCCCTAAACCTTTGATTATCATAAAGTAAAGCAAAGAGAATAACAGTATAGTAGAGGAGGGCCGGCCCCGTGGCTTAGCGGTTAAGTGCGCGCGCTCCACTACTGGTGGCCTGGGTTCGGATCCCAGGCACGCACCGACGCACTGCTTCTCCGGCCATGCTGAGGCTGCGTCCCACATACAGTAACTAGAAGGATGTGCAACTGTGACACACAACTATCTACTGGGGCTTTGGGGAAAAAAAAGGAGGAGGATTGGCAATAGATGTTAGCTCAGGGCCGGTCTTCCTCAGCAAAAAAAAAAAAAAAAACCAGTATAGTAGAGGTAAAGAGCAAATTAAAACCAAAAGCATCCAGAAATCACTGTGCTGAAATTATAAAGTAAGCCAAACTGATGAACAAGAGTTGCTATTTCTGTAATTAAATAAATTAAGAAATTCATAAAATATTCTTCACCATTGACAGTAAGATACAACGGATAGATCGGTTAGTTAAGCCTTACCTTTAGGGACAGTCACGGGCCCTAACTGAGAATTCAGATTCCTGGGGTTAGCTAGTATTGTATCAGAAAGGGTCACATTTCAGAGCTGGCCGAGCATTTCAGCTATTCATGTCCCTTTCAACCATACCTTTTTTTTTTTTATAGGTTTTTATAGGTTTTTTTTTCTGTCTCTATGTGTTTGTTTATTGTTGTTATTATCTACTACTTAACGAAGGAATTCATACTGTATTTGACCTTCTCCCTCTGACTTATTTCACTTCGCATAATACCGTCAATGTCCATCCATGTTGTTACAAATGGCTGGATTTATCTTGATCAACACCAGAAGCTTTGCTACTTAGCTTACTGAATGTCAGAAGTAGCTTCTCATTGGTGAAATGAGTGGTTTGTTTAATTATGTTAGAAATGGGCTCTCACTGGTGAAACTGAAGGGATTCCATATACGTGGATTGGCCAAAACATCCGAGAATATCCTCATACTTAGAACAGGGTAAGACTCGGGCAAGGGAGGATGTCAGGCGTGATGCCCTGTCAGTGCTGCACCAGCCGCTGGTTTACAAAAATGTCTCCTCGCCTGTTGCCAACCGTTAGGCACAGGATCCTGCCTCCTCCATGTCTGTATTGTGTGAACCTTTCACGGAAGGTGTAGTCAAGCATCTATCCAGGTAGCAAGCTGCACATCCCCTGACGAAGGGACTCTTGCCCAGCGAGCTTCATCACCCTAATAACAAACCCACTCAGCCTTGGACTTTGCTCCACATAAAGGAGGCAGCACCAACAGCCAAGAGATAAATGGTTTCCCTTAGGATTCCACATTCACCCCAGTACAAAGTATGCTATAAGCACTCTAGACAACCCCATATAAGCAAACAAAAAAGTTCGTGGGTCCCCCAGGCTTTCAGCCACACCCCAAGACTGTCATACCTTACAGCACTGTGATGTCATCTCAAAACCTCTCCTTCACCGCACGGCTCCACTAGCAGAAAATAAGCAAAACACAACTTCTTTCACGGCTCTTTAATGTCTAGATGCCAGCTCTTCAACCTATCACTTAAACTTTTCTGCATGCCTCCCATTCACACCCCCAAATTCATCTCTCCATGTTTCCTGAGCCAAGCTCCACTCCATTAGAAGGCCCTCCCTAGTCCTCCACTCACAGAGTCTTATCAATCACTAGAGTCTAGTTGAAGCCCCAGCTCACCTGGACCACTCCAGAATCAGCACACTGACGGCACGCCTGCCACGCGCATTTTGACAAATATGGTGTGTTGTCTGGAATGGTGGCTTAACACTTTCCTGAGTGTATCTCATTTCCCTCACATGCACTGAAAGCCCCTTCAGCATGAGAAGTGTGCACACAGCGTCTGTCAATCCCGTCACACTTGACAATGTCATGACGATGGCCTAACAGCCACTTCATGTCTATTGAATGAACATACTTGTCAGGTAGAAAAGAAATATAGGAGATGGCTTGTCAATATGAGCAGCAGCTCTAGCTAGTAATCTCATTTTCCTCATTTGCTTAACAAGGTACCAAAAGGGTACATTGTGGGTACAATTTGGGAAACGAAGGTAATCAAGTTATCTGTTATATCTAAACCTACTGGCAATTATACAACATAAAGAAAAATACGGAGTAGACAAAACTAGAATACTGTCAATGCTGCAGCCCAGACAGATCTCCTAACTTTATGAGGCCTCGGCGTTCTCATCAGGAAATCAGGAAGAACATCCACCCGGGTCCTGTTTGTAGGGCTTGCATGAGGCAGGAGCAAACACTACGTGGCAAGAGCTAAGAAAAAGACAGGTCTTATGCAAAAATAGCACACCAAGAGCACCACTCATTTTGATACTTTTTCATCTATGTTTGATCAGAATAATCATACATTATTTCCTATATTTAAAAAACCCTTTTCAGAGGAATTCAAAGTTGTCGCCATATGTCCACATCAAGATCTCTCCGCAACCAGCACTGAGTCCTTGCTTTATTGTGAGAAGCTAGTTGAGCAAACTTTAGTCTCCAGAGTTTTCTTGGCATTTGTACTAATTGTGGCTAAGTTTTGCATTCAATTAAGAACTGAGCTGTGGCATTTCCTCAACCATCCCTGAAGGTTTTTCTCTGTTGTATTTCTGTTTAGCATTTCAGAAATGCAGCTGTTATTTTCCAAGCAGGGTCATAAGCTCCTTGCTACCAGGCACCATATCCTATATCCCCTGTGTTCCCCAGGATATTACACGATCTGTGTACATAACAGACACACAATGAGTATTAAGGAACTACAAGGTCAATGTAACCACAGGACCAGTTTAAACTGACCCCATCGTATTAAAAATAGAATGTTAAAGTTGTCTTGCAGGGGCAGTGAGCCAAAACTGCAAGTCATGTAGCCAGAGCATGCACAGAGAAGAAAATTTAACACCTGGAAGCAAAGATTCTCCCTGCTATGGAACCAAAAGGACTGGAACACGACCAGAACTCAAAAGATGGATCTCTTTCAGAAGCGAGGGGTGCATTTTACAGAAGAACCAGCGTCAAAGCCCCTTTACACACCTTACCATAAATGGTCCTGCTTAGAGTCCTTCCAATCGAAACCTGCCCTACCAGCACTTCTGCATACCAGCCTGCCCTCCATAATCCCTTAAATTTTACCCCAAACCCTGGATCGGGGAGACAGATGTGAGAGCCTTGCCTCCTCTCTCCTTGCCGGTTGAACCTGCAATAAAACCTTTTCTTTTCTCAAAAGCCAGTGCCACTATATTGGCTTTTATGTGTGTCTGCTAGTGAACCCTTGCTCAGTAACATCAAGATCAAGAAAAGCTGTCTTTTAACACATCAAATCATAGTTTTATGTCTGGGTTAAAACAGGAATATGTGTCCCATGGCCCTACTCCAACCCCTTAAATTCTCAAGGTCTGTTTAGACTTTTGTTGAACTGGATCATTTCTTCCTACTAAAGAAAACAAATACAAATACATAGGCAGATCAGATTTAAAATCACAACCTAAAAGTGGCATAAATAGATCATGGGCCTGCTATCCCAAAAAAGAAAAAAAGTTACTTTTAGCAGACATTTCCCCATCTTTTAACTGAATTATAAATAATAATTCCCAAAATAACTCAGAGCTAGAATCCACAAATAGTTTCTTTCAGAGGGCCCACTAGAAAATAATAAGGCTCAAAGTTAGGCATTCCAAGGCTTCGTGGAGATTTTTCTGGCCACAATGAGGGTTTGGTTGTCACCTTACACTAGGTCAGGTGAGCCTTTTCTGACAGTGCTGTATGCTAGAAAATGTCCTTGCCCATTAGCCTGTATGTTAAAACAGAATCTAAGTTACTCACTGAGAGGACTGTTGCCCTTCCCACTGGTGTTCCCATGACTCCTCAGTGAGGGGAGACCGAATGTCCACACGTGTGGGAATAAATCTTAGTTTGGGTTCCTCACTTCCTAAGAAGCTCTTGGCACCACCCCAGCTCATGTCCATCAAGGCCAATGGATCTCTATTTAAGTGGTCAAATATAGTAACTGTATCCCAGACATTCTAGGAAGCGCAATCTCCCACCAAATATCGTAAGTCAGACTGAGGGGTGAAAAGTGTAAAAAATCGCTCCAAAGTATGCAGCTCCTCCATTTCTTTACACATACTCCTACACCCCTAG